AAGCACTCAAAACAATAGCCAAAAGAAGCTTCTAATTTGCTATGTTCCCCACATAGAATTGCCTTAATATTGTAGCTAAAGAAAGCTTTCATGAAGTCGGAATCAGATATTAAATAAAATATTAGAAAATGCGCTAACTTGTAAAATTATAGCAGATTTTCTTGCTTGAACCAATGGGATGGATGGATTATACAATACACAATTAGCACCTTCTTGCATTCCTTTGCCATTTGCTTCTATAGTTCTTACTCGGGGCATTACTTAATGAAGAAGGCGGTGGCAATCTCATGCGCAATACAGCGGATATGCCCAAAGTGTAAAGACATTATACTAACGAGCCTACGACATATCATACATACCGATCTCGCACTACCACGCTCTAAAGAATGATTGACATCCCCTTGGTAACCAGCAACTCCTGAGAAAACATCCGCTGACCTTCCCTCGAGGCGAGCTCGCCCTTCGCTTCTTGAAGTGTCACTTTCGGGCCATGGTCTAATATCGGAAGAGTTCGATGAATGTCGTGATACAGTCGGGGATGATTCGTTGGGTAGTCGGAGATTAGGCGCTGCATATTCTGGTTCRGGCACGCTGTCGAGTCTATGTCGAATATCTCGAAGATCATTAAATTTCTGTTTTCTGTCTATGCTYCTTGTAGGCGCTTCTTCAGAGCTTCTGAGATATGAATCAGTCTGACCGCGTGCTCCCTGKGAGCTGGGTTCTGCTGTAGTTCTTGGTGGSRGGAATTCAGTCGGGGAGTAYGCAGGTCCACCGACGGGATGATGGCGGACATCCGGGGTATTAGAATTGCTTGCGAGCGGTGAAAAAATGCCGGAGCCTAAGTGAGACAAATGCCATGAGTTTTCACTGAAGTAAACTCTCGTTATAACGGACACATGAGCGTGCCCGCAAGTGTTCACTTGTTTGTCGTTAAGATAGGATTTCTTTGGAGGGGGTACCTGCTAGATCTGAGTTCAAGTTACGACGAAAAACAGTTTGAATACGACGAAGATTCAAATAGTAAAAAATGCATTCGATTCAGGAAACATTTCTAAGCATCCCTTTTTGTTGATTATTTTTTATCTTCATAGTCTCCATCCACACTGATGAGTTTTCGTGACGTTTTCGTATTGCTTTCAAAACAAAAAACAAAAACACGCAGTTCATCAGTGTGGAAAACACATTAGATTCGTTGCAAATAGGAAACGTTTCCTAAAGAAAACTTACGTAGGTAAAAAATTAAGTTTTATCTTTTACAAAAACACGCGAAAATTAGAATACTCATCCAAAAAAATTAACTAAAAAAAACGTGTATAGAATAAAAACTTCCGCAGCAATAATTAGTTATTTTGCATTCAGTTATTTAAATTGTAGAAATATAAAGAAATTCATACCCCGAAAAACAGCAAAATGAATGATAATTTTTCGTTGCCGCACAAAATAWAAGCAAAGCAAGTACAACGTCATGTAAATAAGTAGAATCGTCAAGTTAGGAAAGGATTCAATAATTTTACCTTGTGAGGACTTTCTGTGATGATAAATCGARCTCARTTTTTTCTTCATCATAAACTTAAAAAATATTTACATCTCTTTCAAGTATGATTCTCGTTCAGGGCAGCATTTACGAAAAACAATTACTTTGGCTMATTTATTTTTGTGTAAAACCGAACTGGTATCTCAATGTGAAATTCTGACACTTCTAATTAACATTCGCGGGTGGTAYATAGTAATTTGAGGCGGCATTTTGAAAACAAATTTTGAGGTTTCGACGTCAATTTCAGCATAATTACACAGGAAGCCCGTACTAAATCATTACCTACCATCAAAGGTTTTGTCTTTGCTCATACCCAGGCCATCATGGTCAAATCCAACTGGAGGAGGAATGGTTCTATCGTCAATTTTTGAGGTGTTGGGCATTGGTGTTTTAGCTTTAGAAATAAAACAGAATGTATTTGATGTTAGTGGTAAAACTAGAAATGAAAACGAAATAACAATACAAGAGAAACATTATTCTAATAATGAATTCACAATTTATAAATGATCAAAAGTTACTTTGTCATGACAATTACTATAACAATCATTATTTTATATTTTGTTTTCGTCTCACCTTCTCTCAGCGGAGAAAAGATATCTTCATCTTCTTTGACKCCATTCTGTTGTGCTGGTAACCTAGGTGACTGCACGTTATTAGACTGTGRAGGGGRTTCCTGGGGCTCCTGTGGGGGAGGTCCCTGGGGATCTTCYGGTAGGTTWCGTGTTGACGTCTTTGGCTTGATACTWSTGGATGTGATTGATTTGGTGACTTTATTGATTGACACCACAGAATTCTAAT